ACTCACTTTTGGGGGTGTGAGAGAAGGCCTCACAAGTTGACACTGATACATAAAAAGGATTTGATAAATACAAGGTGGGGTGGGGTGGCTGTGGGAGGAAAACAACACTCTGTGAGAAGGAACTGTGAATAAAGGAAGTAAAAGCTGACCATACTAGGGCCCGGGCTGCCAGGCCTCTGGAGGGGAGAGCGGGACCAGTTGGGTAAGGTTGGGCAAGCAGCAGACCAGTTCTGGGACCAGCAATGCGAATTGGAAAGGAGTCAGCTTCAAAACACACACATTGTTTCTTGCCATTATGCCATTCCATTGTTTCAAAAACAGAAACAATGCCTCGGAGAGATAAGCTCCCAGGGACAAGCATCATTCATTACACAAATACCCGCGGCTTGCAGTCTGCGACATGCCTGGCCCTGCGGGCCATGGACGCAGCTCCCACCCGGGACTTCGAAGTGAAACGGGGGCTGGTCCCTCGCTCTCGGACCCACCTGGGCCGCGTAGCTCACAGTCTGCAGCCCCCCAGCTCCCAGGCGCCTCCCGGCGGCGGCTCACCTGGTTCCCTAGCAAGCGCTGGACTGCAACCGGGCTCCCTCCCGGCTGGCAGCACTGCGGATTTCCCACACCGGCGGTTCCTAAGCCGTTGAGGCCGAACCGCCCGGGTGTTCGGCGGGGAGGGGGACAAGAGTGCGGGCCGAGGAAGTGGGGGTGGGGGGAGGGCAAGGCCTGTGCACGGAGAGCGTGCCCGGAGAGGGTGCCTGGACCGTGGAAGCCCCTGCCCTGGGCCGTTCAGGCCGCCAGTGTCATGGAGGTTTCACTGCTCTTGGTTGAGGGCTTATTTGATGTCAGGCCTGGAGCTGTGCACTTCACAGACAGTAACTGTATCACGAGGACTGTGTTGGGTCAGAAGGTGTATGAGGAAACAGGAGGTTAGGAATTACCTAGGTATCCAACACTCGCTCTGCTCTCCACACCCTTGCTCTTTCCCACTGAAGGACACTCTTGCCCAGGTCTCCCCTGTTAAGTCTGTCTGTTTGTCTTTCTCCCTCCCTGATCTCTCTAGCTCCACTCCCCCCACTCCTCCAGCTCACAGCCTCCTCCTCCTGTACACTTCTCTCAGTCACTGTGTCATGTCTCACTGTGTTTTGTTTTCATGATTGGCCCACTTACAGTTTTACACCTGTTTAATTGTTCTATTAACATCTAACCCATTATTTGCTTTACCTACTTCTCTTTGTAAATTGTCTCACCATCATAAGGGCAGGAATTTTGATGTCTTTCATTAACTGCTGTATCATCAATGGCTGGAAATTATGGTAGATGTGTCAAGTGCTTAATAAATTTGGATTGAATGATTATTTCCCAGTTAATGTAGTTGCTCCTCACAGGCAGCAACTGTGTCTGTTTTTTCATTACCTTTCTATAGAAGTGTCTGACCCCCAGTAAATATTCACAAAAGTCAATTAATGAAAGAGTGAATGTACTGCTCACTGTATCTTTATCCTCTCAGTCAATCTCACCGTATTATACTACCCTGTTGGATAAATATATGGTTTTCTAGGGTTCCTACTTGCAAGTTTCCTCCTTTGTATTCATCCATTCATGCCACCCCTCATTTCTTCAAGGTTAATTTTTTGCCCTCACTTCTTCCTTCAACCTCTATTACTTCTTAGAAAACTCCCTGACCTGTAGGTTGGAATATTTTCAAGCAGAATCCCTTCAAAGGCAAGAGAATCCAGGCTAGTCACACTGAGTCCAAAATAAAGCTTTCCACAAATCATCCATGACCTTGGTTTTGACTCCCCCCCCAACCCCCAAGAAAACTGAGAATCCTATACCACCTGTTAAAATAAAGATCATAGTAATTATTCATAATCTATCCAATACATATTTATGGGGTGTCTTTTATCATTGTACTGTGTTAGATGCTGGGACAAGACACACAATTTGAGCACACCAGGATATGTACCACACAAAAGAGAATAATTATGGGAAGTGATGAGAATTAGTTACTAAGAGAAGTAACTAAGAGTATAAGACTGAATCCAATTCTTCTGTTTATTGTAGCAAGTTTTAGCATTAGAATAGGTTGGCAACAGTGGATACTATGGGGCTGTAATACACTGCCCATTATTCACATTTATTTTCTTCTTCAACTTTACAAGTGGCTTTAGTAGGTAGGGATGCAAGTCAGGGATTCTCTTTTGCATAAACTGGAAGTAAGTTCTAAGCAAGTTTAATTGACTTGCTTAATGAGACTCTGCCTTGTTCATACCCTGAGAAGCAAAAATTAAGACTGACTCCTTCTTCTCTGGAAGCAATTGCCAACAGAAGTCAGTTACAAACCTCAGGATAATGGCTTTAAAAAATGCTTCCCTTTTTGAAATAATGTTTTTGTGTCCTTTGGGTAGACTCTTAGGAGTAGAATTCCTGGCTCATATGGTAGCTCCATTATTAGTAGTTTGAGGAACCTCCACACAGCTTTCCATAGTGGTTGGACCAGTTTGCATTCCCACCAGCAGTGTAGGAAAGTTCCTTTTTCTCCACATCCTCACCAACATTTGATGTTGCTAGTTTTTTTAATATGTGCTGTTCTCACTGGTGTGAGGTGGTATCTAATTGTGGTTTAGATTTGCATTTCCCTGATTATAAGTGATGTTGAACATTTTTTTTCATGTACCTGTTCACCATTTGTATTTCCTCTTTGGAGAAGTGTCTTTTTAGCTCATCTGCCCACTTTTTGACTGGACTGTTTACTTTGTTTTTTGTTGAGTCATGTGACCTCTTTGTAGATTTTTGAGATCAGTTCCTTATCAGTTGTATTGTGTGCAAAAAATGTCTCCCTATCAGTAGGGTATCTCTTTGTTTTGCTTAGTGTCTCTTTTGCTGTACAGAAGTTTTTTAGTTTGATGTAATCCTAGTTGTTTATCTTTTCCTTCACTTTTTTTGCTTTAGGGAATATGTCTTTAAAAATGTTACTGAGATGTATGTCATATATTTGTTTTGCCTATATCTTCTTCTATATACTTTATGGTTTCAAGTCTTATTTTTGTGCATGGTGTGAGGTAGTAGTGTAGATTCATTATTTGTAAGAAGCAGTCTAGTTTTCCCAGTACCATTTACTGAACAAACTGTCCTTGTTCCATTACATATTCTTTTCTCCTTTGCCAAAGATTAGTTGTCCATAAATATGTGCGTTTATTTCTGGGTTTTCTATTTGATTCTATTGGTCGGTGTGTCTGTTTTTGGTCCATTACCATTTTAATTTTTATGGACTTGTGGTATAGTGTGAAATCTGGGCATGTGATACTTCCATTCTCCTTTTTATTCAGAAGAGCTTTGGTTATTCAAGGTTTTTTGTGATTCCATATGAATTTTATCAATATTTGTTCTATTTCTTTGAAGAATGTCATTGAAATTTTTATTATAACAGCATTGAATCTGTAAATTTTTTTTCAGTAGGATGACCATTTTGATAGCTAATTCTTCTAATCCATTTGTAAGGATTTTTTTTCCTATTTCTTTTAACGGTTTTCTTTGTATATTTACATCCCTGTTTATTCCAACACTATTCATAATTGGTAAGATATGAAAACCACCCAAATACCTAAAAATAGATGACTGGATCAAGAAGATGTGGTATACTTACTCAATGGAATACTACTCAGTAATTAAAAAGTTAAACTCAGGCCATTGGCAGCACCTTGGACTGAACTTGATGAGACCATACTCAGTAAAATAAGTCAGAAGGAAAAAGAAAAACATTGAATGCCTTCACTTATAGGAGGAAAATAGGGGAACTGAATAAGGGGGGGATAACAACAATAATTAAACAAGAAAACTAGCAAGTAATCACAAATAAAGAGACATTCTGCGAGGGAAGGGGAGGAAAAAGGATCAAAATGGGAGAGAAGAAGGGACTATGGAGATGGTTTCACGGGCGAACTGTTGGGAATTTTTACAGGGAATACACAATGATATAAGTAAAAGACATAAATTATTAAAAAGATAAAATTAAGGCCCTCCCTGGTGGTGCAGAGGGTTAAAGCACAGCACTAAGAAGCCTAAGCCACTTCCGCATGAGTTCGATCCCCGCCTGCCCCGCAGGTGACCACATGGCCCACCAGACCTCTCCTGATCCGCCCACTGCTCCCCTCAGCAGTGTACTTTGTAGATCTGCCTGTTCTTCTCCCCACTATGTCCCTGGTGAATCCTCTCACCTCCGCATCTCTGGACTTTACCCCAGTTCTGTATGAATAAACAAATCTTAAAAAAAAAGATAAAATTAATAAAAATGCTTCCTTAAGGAAAAATCAGTTTCTGGATCGGAACTATTTGAGTGTATTTTTAAAATGCACAGTGAGTGGGTGTGTGGGCGGGGAGGATAGACACAGGCACATCACACACCTATTCTATTGGACTCTCCTTGGGTTATGGGTACCTGCATTTTAAAAATGATTCTTCTGCACAGATAATTTGAATATTACTAAGAGAGTCTGAGTGAAAACCTGTCTTACTAGAGAGCTAATGTTTGCTTTTGGGACAGAACTCCAAAGAGCAAGCCATATGTTTTTGAGCAGATGGGAATGTAACGACTTTCTGGCAGGAACCTTTCCCTTTTTTATGCAAACATTCGTTGGAAATTGGGGGTCCGCTGAGCAGGTGCTCTGAACTACCCTCAGTGCAAAGATCTTTTGGCTCTTTTCCGGACACCCTATTTGTCCCTGTCGCTTTTCGCCTTGCAGCCAGGCACTTACCCCGCTGACCACTGTGAGGCGCGCACGACGTGTGCTGCCCGCTTATCTCTTTCCCCCGCCACCTTGGCTCCGCAATCAGTCCTAGGTTGTTCCTGCCTCTGGTCTCCAGCTGTTGCTCTCTTCTCGCGAGAACTGCTCTTCCCGTCCTTTCCCCTCGCGAACCCCCTCCCGCGGGCATGTTCCATATTGGGTAAAATCTCGACTCACGGAGAGTCCCGGGAGCTGGTCTCGCGAGACTACGTCGGGAGGCTCCTGTTCGCTGGCTCTGGAACCGCGACCACTGGAGCCTTAGTGGGCTGCAGTTGGAGTCTCTGTCCTGCCCCGTTGCCCGAAGTCGGCCTGGTCGGGGAGGGTGCAGGGGGAGCGCGGTGGGCGCAGCTTTGAGCCCCGGAGCGCGCCCCAGCCCTTAGCTTGGGCTCGCCCCTGTTGCTGAGGCGCGATCAGTTGCTGCACTGACAGGGGCCGCGCGCGCGCGCGCGCGGGAGTCGGTGGGGTCGCGGCACCCGCACCTGCGCCCGCAGCCAGCGCTGGGTCCTCGCCCAGCTGGGCAGGCGAAGAGGCCGGGGAGCGGGTGCGGGCGCAGGCATAGCCCCGCAGGGCCACCTCCTCGCTCCGTGGCCGCCGCTGGAAGATGTCTCAGGAGAGGCCCACGTTCTACCGGCAGGAGCTGAACAAGACAATCTGGGAGGTGCCCGAGCGTTACCAGAACCTGTCCCCGGTGGGCTCCGGCGCCTATGGCTCCGTGTGGTGAGTGTCACCAGGCCTGGGCCGCGGTAGGCTGGGTGGTCCCTCATGCCCGAGAGCCAGGCCTACCCCCTCCGCTCAGCAATACACCAAGCGGCAGGAATTTTTCTCGGGGGAGGGCATTGCTGCCCCTTTGGCCCCTGCCCTGCACCCCTGTACCCCTTGCACCCCTCAACCTGCACACCTAGGTCAGACGTGTGCAGGACGCGCGTCCACGCTGGGTGGTGGGTGGAGGTGCTGGAATTCGGCCCTGGCTCTCTCCTTGAACATTCCCTTCTTGAGGGAGGTGGGGGTGCTGCTCAGGGACCGGGCACGGAATGTAGGAGCTCTTTGGGGAGCTCTGCTGGCGTCGAAGGATCCTCTCCAGAGCTGCGTCTGCCTTGGGCGCGGGATCCTGCGCGCTCAGCAGACGAGTCCGAGTTGCTGCTGGGAGGAGCAGAAGGGCACACAGCCCGAATGGGAGACTGCGGTCATCCGAACCAAACTGACCACCGAGGGCGTTCTGTCCGGACTTTTGCGTGTGTGTGTGTGTGCAAACCTCCGTGGAAATCCCATTTAGAGAAACGTTCATTTTGAATTCGCTCTTGAATTAGCAGCAACCCATGGAGCTTAAAATACTGACTTTATCTCTGTGAGCACTGTGCCAGCTTGAATGGTGTGTTTCCGACTCAGTTGCAAGCGTATTTCCTTTTCGCAGGGGTGGGGGGTGGCAGTGCCTGCGAGCATTCTGCAGCTTTGAGAGACTGGCCTCCTCACTGATTAGTCACATACCACTGCTCATTTTAAGTATTGTTTGACAAAACAATTTTCTCACTTTGAGCAAGTGAGATTCAGATCCGTTGGACGCCCTCAAGATCAAAAAGTTATTAACAATGCTGGGAGGTGTTGTGAATATTTTAAAATTGTGACAATTCTTGTGACTACTGTATTTTTAAAACCCCTTAGGGAGTTCACAGGGAACGTATCTCCATTTGTAGCCTGATGTACATGATGGTTTTCACAAGGATGTGGAATATACAACAGAAAAATGGAAGAGACACTTTTTAGTTTAAATTCATACTGTGTCTTAAATTGCTACCAAAAAATTTCAGGACCTGAAATATTTCTCTGACTTCTCAGAATGTATACATTATATGTTAGATGCACTGTAATATGAGAGCCCCTGCTAGGAAGTTAGTTCGTGCGCATGCATTATTTGAAAAGGGGGCTATGTAATTATTTTTTGTTTTGGAACAAATTCCAGTCTTTTGAACTTGCTAATCGCTAAATATAATTCCCCTATTTCTTAAAGTCGCCTCATGAATTTCCTGTTTGGTAGTATCTTCTGGGTATTTGAGATTGTGCAATAGTGTCCAGTAACAGATCATATTGTATTTTCTAGTTCAAGTTGTGTGAGTTATCTTGCTGATGGCACCATACTTGACTTCTTTTCTACATTTTTCCAGTATGGAGGTTTACATTTGAAGGAATTTACAGCATTTGTTTCTGTGTGTGAGAGAGAGAGAATGAGTTTTCAAAGATATATTTGAGTCATTGTTTCTTTCACAGCTAATTATTTTACCTTCATTTTTCATTCTTAAATTCATGCATTAACCTTTGTGGTATCAAATTTTCGTTTCCAGTGATGTTTACATTTTATTAGAAAGAATAGCCCAACTACAGGGAGTTGATTGAGCTTGAAAAAAAAACTGCTTGCAAGGTTTCCCTACTTGATTTTTATAGCTCTGCACTGGAACAGGAGATTCAAATTTAAATGAAATGCCACTAAAATAATCTCCATATTTCTTTAATACTATGCTTTTCTGACTTATAGATGCCAGCAGTATCTGTAATTTTATTAAACAAGTTTTTAAAAATACATAATACAGTTACATTTTATAAAATTCAAGAGGCATAAAAGGAGATAAGTGAAAAGTCTTTCCTTTCTTATTCTCCACTCACACTACTCCTTTTCTCAGAGACAACTACTGTTATGTTTTGAAGGCAGAGTTGTGTTTGTTTTCGGTAATTGTTCAACATAAGAAAATTGAACAAATGTAACTGATTTTGAGTTGACAATATCAGAATTTAGATTTACAGGTAAGTGTTCTCTCACTCAGTACTTATTTGAAGTTGTTTTTTAAATTAGCAACTTTTCAGTTGGGGCAGAAAACATTTTTAAGATCTGTTTTGGAACCTATGCTATTTTTCACTGTTTTTACTCATTGAGGGCAGATTTGATTTTATGGAATAACAAAATTAAATTGAATCCAGATTACTTAGAGAATTTGAACTCAAGTCTGGTGAAAGAGATTAGGTAATCAGGCTGGTGACCTGCTTTAGGTCAAATAGGAGTTGTAACTATAATGACACAGAATTTCTTGTGTGACTTGTAGAACTGGATCTGAATGAAATCTGATCCAGAGAAGAATCTCTGGAAGTGTTTGAAGGAATGCAGCATCACTGAAATATGCGTCAGTTTCTAAAGTCGATTGCTCTGCTCTGAAGAGCAACTTAGTTTTTTTACATAGGCCTTGCATTTAATTTACAATAAATACATAGTAAAAAATGCAAGTAGCAGCCCCTGTTTTAACCAACTGTGGAATCAGACTTGAAATTTGGGAGTTGATAGGTTTTACAAATGTCTTTTCATTTTTAAGGGATAAAGGGAACTAAAGTCTAAATAGTTTTAAGGAACTTTATGCAGTGTCCCTGAGGGGAAATGATGCAAAATTGTTCAAGAATATGTTGTTGCAAAGCATTGATTTTGTGGGTTTGGAACAGATGGGGGAAATCTTTGTGGTAAGTTTAAGGAAATATAAACAGGAACTTAAATGTCTTTCCTTGGAGTATTTTTTTTTTTTTAATTTAAAGACCTTTGCTGTTGGTTAGAGATGTAGAGTGCTAGTAACCACAAGTAGGTAAAAATTAAGAATTAGTCTTAAATCATGTTCAGTCATTTATTCAATAATATTTGTTCAGTACCAACTGTGGCCAGATAGTCAGCTAAGTTTCTTGAGATAGAACAAGACGATCTACCTCTCATAGAGCTTATAGCCTAATGCAAGTAATAATAATATTTTATGGATTGTTTACTAATAGCCATTGTACCGTATGACCTATATTTAACACCAGTATGTAAAATACGTAAGGCTTTTAGTGAGAGGATGGCAGAATTCACTAAGAAATTAAATGCAACTTCCTAAACATTTTGTGGAAAAAGATTGTATATAAATAATATAATACAAATAAATGGAGTTACTTTTTGTTGGCACTAATGGCCATTCACCATTTTAAATCTTTTTTTTAGGATAAGCCAGGGTAGAAATAAATAAAATATGTCACTGAGTATGCAAAGATATGTCACTGAGTATGCAGTCCTCGTATGGCTCAGTGAAGGCAAGTGTTATTAACCCAGTTGTATAAATGAGTATTTACCCTCATTCAATAAAGAAAAGCATATTTTGATACAACTCTTGATTTGGTTCTGGGGTTCAATGCATTAGAAATGTCTTTTCCTGTATATGTACACTGGTGAGGTGTGGTGACACTTTTTCTTCTGCTGTTTGTTTCCCCCCACCCCCCCCTTTTTTTTTTTTTAAAAAAAAAGGGGTTGGCTATGTAAGAAGGCAGTAGAGCAGTGACTGTATGAAGCCAATCACACCAATGTCATTGACATATTCATTAGTCTTCCTCAGAATTCATAAACCAAATGTGAACTTATTACCTAGATTTATTTTCCCCCAAAGAATTATTAGACAGTGCAAATAGTTTATTCCTGAATTTATAAATCTTGTTGGTTTGAAATTCTTCAATGTGTATTTTGTAAAGTTGGGATTACATTATACATGTTTGATAAAGTATAGGGTATAAATAGAAACAATTTCTCTCCAGACCTTTGAAAATAGTTAGATATTTACTTTTAATGGTGGTATTTGGTAGTGATTTGTCTCGACCCAAGAGGTATTATTACTGTAGTGTTCAAAAAACCTCATCACTTGAAACTTGGAGATTTCATCCTACAGTTACTATATTCTTGGAGGTCATGCACACATTCCTTTAGGATAAAATGAACAAACAAATTTCAGTTAAACTAAAGTATAAGTAAAGTTTTCAGTGCTTCCACAAATTTTAAGTTCATTTGTGTTAAAGATTTGTAAAATCAATCTCTTTTCCAGCATTTCAACCTTTTAAGAATTTACTCTAGGAAAGAAGACTATGGCCTGTGTGCTTTGTGCTTTTGACAAAGAGGTCCTGGGTTCTGATATACTTGGTTCTCAGGGTAAATGTTGGGGGAATGGAGGAAAGAAGTATGGAAGAGTGAGGATCTAAAATGCCCCCTAAGTTTTGGCTTTGGAAAAATAGATTTTAGTGCCATTTTTTGACCTTCAGAGAGTTAGTTACAGGATACAGGATTATGGAGGCAAAAGGGAGAGGGACTTGAGTCTACGCCAAGTTCCTTGAGGATAGGACTTTGTCTGGTGTGTTATACTGACATTTTGAGCACCTATTATGTATGGGCCTCTCTCTGTAGGTACTGGAGATGAAATACAAACAGACACCGATTTCTGCCCTTAAGCTGTGTTCTGAAGGGAATGGAAATGGAAGTAAATAAATAAATAAAATTTTTAGTATGTCATATGGTAAGTATAATGTGAAGAATGAAGCAAGGAAAGGAGAGGGAGTTCTGGATGGCTGTACAGCACTTTTCAGCAGAGTGGAAAGAGTAGACCTCAGTGGTAAAGTGGCAAGTGAGTGAAAACTGAGGGAAGTAATATAGAACACTGGTTGGATATGGGTGGGAAGAAAAGAACATTGCAGGCCGAGATCAACTAATGCAAAGGCCCTGAAGCAAAGACCTGGCTTTCCAGCAACGACTAGGAGACCGTTAAGGCTAGAACTGAATGAACCAGAAAGCAAGTAGTAAAGAGAAGAGGGTGGAGGTGCTGCAGATATACAGGGGCTAAGTAGGACTTTAATTTGCCTTTATAGGAAGTGTGCCTTTACTCTGAGAGGGGTAAGCCATAGAGGCTTAAAGCCACAGGAGAGACATGATCCAACTTTAGCAAATCACTCTGCTCTGAGGTAGTCTTTTTTTCTTTTCCATTTCTTTCTCATACCCATTTGAGGTGTTAATTGTAATTTAGGGTCTAATGGGGGGGGGTCAGATGAGTTGGTACAGACCCCTAACCCAAACTCACAGCTCTTATTCCAGAAGGGTCTGAGTACTAGCACCAACCCTTTCTGGTGGGTTTTAAAAATTCAGGATACTCCTGTCCAGCTCTTTAAATAACGTGGACTTACTTCACTTTTTCAGGTTTCTGTTGCCAAAAGAAAGGGAGTGAAGAGATTAGCTCTAGACTTCTGTTGACAAAAGAAGATTAGGCTGCTGGCAGGTTTAATGTTTTCTAACTTCTTTGGACTTCTAGGTTTTTTCATACTGTTGGATCATATTTTAAGTCACTTTTGTCTTTCTTCAACATTTAAGACCTCATTTATTTTTCTGTTTTATTTGTCCTTGTATCTGCTTTACACTTCTAC